TGTTGAGTTAGAAATACGATCGAACAAGATAGGATAGTGCTAATTTGTTAGACTGAAAAAGCTAACAGACACATTGAATATCACATTTGTGGCGTCGGTAAACGTGTAAAGTTTCCGTGGATATTAACTGAGATATAATGATTACTGATACATGTTTATCTTCTGATATCTTTTGATACAACCGTCTGAGAAATATCTGTCTTAAAAATTTATTTTTGACCCAAGAAAAATATATTTAGTATGTTATCCAAATTGAATGACACAATTGTGGCGTCAGTGAGCGTGTTAATGAATTAATGCCAAGAAGAATCTCTTAAGCGCACTTAAATCCAGTGTTATCTTTCAAAGCAAGGTTAGTTATATTTGTAACTGCGTATTTGTACTTGAAGTGGTCAATTATGACAGAATTTGGAATTTTCTATCGTTTTCTCAGTATATAAAACCCCTTCTATGTAAAACCTGCATTTAGTGGGCACTCCTCTATTCTTCGTACTGGCCGCTTTTAAAATATAGCCGGGTTCGACTATCTATAATTCCCTATGCTCAGTGTTGGGGAAAATAGTTTTTCATTTTCAATTTCCTCTCATACGCTCTTCATTCAGACCACCGGCTCGCATGTGAAAGGGAAGACATTCACATGATTTAGCGAAAAAATTGATGATGGACTTACTGAAAGAATAGCTGACTGACTTATCGAACGATTGGTTTACTAATTGGTGCGGCAAGTGATTCCTTCGCCTCTGATTTTCAGAACTTAAGTTTTTGCCCCGTACCCCAAACTGAAATATAGTACCTAAAAAATTTGACCAATTTCCTTTTGATCCAAAATAGTTCCAGGGGAGTCGGAAAATTTATTGAACCAGATAAGAATCTTTTGTGACTGACATCGAATGAACGAAAAAGGAGGAGTCACTTGTTCTGTCGCCACGCTCGCAGGTGATAAGCCACTTGAGTTCTTTAGCAAAAATATGCTAGTGAGTTAGAAACATCCCGAACCTAGCTTAAAAATAGTTTAACTTATCAATGGATAACACAGTTTCACTGCTCTTGTTTATTGAAATAAATGTATCAGAAAGAATTCCTCAATTTAACCTGATTTGCTTTGCAATTTCATTTCTTTTTATGCATCTGATGAGGGGAAACCTTTTTTTCCTGAGGGTCAATGGTTTATTCTAAAATTACTAACCTCAACATTCTAGCCAACAGGAAAAACTGTAATTCTGTTTTGCTTCATAGCTCTGAGGATTAACTGACATTTTTCCCTTTGTGCTATAATTCGGCAGAAGGTTGAGTCCAATTAGTATTAACAAAACCACTGATACATGCGTTAAAAATTTTGTAATTTCAGAATATATGTACTATACGTACTTTAAAAGCTCTGCGTGATGTTCTATAGTTTCTTTTAATGTAGCATGCTTGGGGAGAGTTTTTTCAGGAGACACACTATTCTGTGACGGTAAACTTAGCTAAAAATAATAATAAAGCAACTAATATCTAACTGAAACCTGTAAAAGAACTTTTCTCGCTTATAACTTTCCACAACTAACGACAGAATTTCTAGTGTTTTGCTACTTGTTTTCATGTATTCCACCATGAATGAGGGTCAGGGCTTGGCGCCCATTGTGCCCGAAATAACTTTAAGCGTGTCTGAGAAGATCTCCTCTTTCAGATTGCAGTCAGATGTGCTGGGATTTCATTACAACTATTTTACTATTTATCCTTCAAGCTTTACAAGTTTTCAGGAGAGCCTATTGTTGGACCTGAAATAATTGTTTGTGGTAGGGACAGTAAGATACGAGAAGAGTTCACCGTTTTCTCTCCACGCGCAAAACTGATAGGCCACTTGCGTTCGTTGAGTGAAATGCTAAATAAGGGTCAAGTGTAAGATGGTGCTAATCCGTTAACTGATAAACAAAACAGAGGTATTGAATATCACATTTGTGGGCTCGGAGCACGTTCGGGATTTCACTGAGTGTAAAAATTTATAAAATGTAATGATTTCTGATACAATGCTGCGGCAAGTTATAGATTTGAACAAGATAAGATATCTACCATCGGCCCATGAATGGTCTCATGGAACTTTCCAGGTCTCTATCTAAATATATTTCAAGAAGTATATATGCAAATGAAATATATGCAGGAAACTGACCTAGAAGTACAGCGCTCTGGAGAACGGAACTCCGCCGCAAATCTACTCACTAGAGTATTTATAAAACACTCAGGAATTGGATAGCGATTGTATATCGAGTTATAGATGCACGCGCGAGAGAAGGGTAAGAGTTGATGAGAGTTGCTCGATGCGCAGCTGAGAGTAAACTGAGCTTCTTGAGAGCTCTCCAAACTTCCCAAGTGTATTAATAACTCGATATAAGTACAGTTAAAGCATGAACCAATTATTTTAGAACAAAGCATGTAAACAATAGTTTTACTCGGAAAAAAAAAAATTAAAACTGTGTCGGGTTTACCGAGTAATCATGTTCTACTCGAAAACTATGAAAAGGCAGAAACGAAATATTTCGAGACCAAATATATATTCAAAGGACTGAAATTTTTCTTCTCTGGAGCGAAAAATGAATGAAATTTTCTATGCGAGACTACGTAGTAGATTCAGCATGATTGAATCGTCGTTTACTCAAATTCACGACCAGAAAATTGCATAGGTTTGTGTTGAAAATTTTTAAAATTCTGAAATTATATGGTTTTGAAATTAAAATAATGTACTTTGACAATAATTTTGAAATCCAGCAGCTGAAAATGATACTCAGTCTCGCAGATTTCTTCATCTACAGAACGAACATCATTTCCTTTTTTTGTCCTTCGACATCCAATACCATATTTTTTGATACTACCAACAAGTTTGAAAAAAAATCCTTATAGTATATTCCTGACTACTTGGCACTAAGTGCATTGAAGAGCGTACTCGTCCCCGCGCTTTTAGACTTCCTTAACTTCATTTCGTTTCTTTCATAAATGGCGCGAAATGGTAGCTAAACCGTTTGTCCACATAACAGTGAAAATATATGCGTATTCAGGCAACACTCTCTGAAATTTTGACCATGCTGTTCCAAGGACTCCTTTTATAAATCTTGGTAACTGAGATTTTGCTTGAAAGAATCTGTTTGTTTCGTCTGCATTCCGGAGCGCCTGCATGATTTAGGAACGGAATTAGGATTATAAAAAAAGCCATTAAGCTCTCATGAAGTGTCAAATATCAGAGGATATAAAACAGCTATATAGCTACTGTTTATAATCATAAGTCCAATATAATAAATTACTGAATTTCATTTGATTTGCTTTGCAATACTCATTGTTAAACATCTATCTTACGAAGGAAAATCTGTCATATCAATAAATAAAGATGGGTCCGGAAGAGACTTCATCAAACACTCTTTTAAATCTTGTTTAGGCAGAAAAAATTGAAACTAAGATATTTCTTGAAGACCAGCTGAATTCTGAACACTAGCTGTCACGATAATGTAGTCGTCAATCATGTCACATTTCAGTGATATGGGTGACGACTACATGGAAGTTCTCGCCAACTATGAATAAGACTGACCAAAGACGAGCCAAAACTAGAAATTTCCTGTTACGAACCTGTTGTAGATTCTCGATATAGTTAGCTGCCTTAGTTCTATTTTAAGGGGTAACAGAATTTTTAACCCCTGGAACGGCCTGAGCCAATAGGATTTGTCTACTTTTTGCTTTTTTTGGCATATTTAGCAGACAAATTCGAACGGACTTTTATTAGTTCTTGAACAGAGCACGAAGGAGGCGGGCGGTTAGGGTAAATAAGTAAGTGAAGTAAGTGAGCTCAGCAGTATGTAAGGTCCTAGTGCTTTTGGGAAAAACTTTTCCATTGCACTTTTTCCATAGAGTTTCTTAGTGTTCTTTCCTATCTTTATCATAAAATCGGTTTTATCTTTTTGCAGCCTTTCTGAATAACACTGCAAACAACACCCGACGAATAGAAAATGAGGGACAATCGACAAGGTATAGGTATGTAATACTGTTCGATATGCAAGTCACAGTTTTGAGCAACTTACTTGATTATATCCTATGCTTCTTTTTTCCAAATATGGAATTTTTCGTTTTGAAGCTATAGAAAATGAAGAGGCTAAAGTTTGCACCTCCTTTTAACCGATGGGGTTTGTATGCGACTCCTATTATAGCCAACACCAACAACTCTTAAAACCCAGTCAGTGTGCTCGATCACAGGGAACAACAGTCGAACTCCAAAGGTTTTGAAATCTTTCAGTCGTGGTGTGATAAATGAAGTAAAGTCAGTTATCTGAAACAGTCGATCATTCACGCTCGTGGTAGCCTATAACTTTCTTTTGCAACGAGCCCTGGACAATTTCACTTAAAAAAACTCGATCGCCTTGTTCAATAGTTGACTGAATTGAATCTCTTGGATTATGCAGATGCAGTTTTGAGTTCGTTTCTACCTTGGGAATGCCAAAATTGACAACTATCGTTCTTTTTTAAAAATTGCGAGCGGGTTAAAATAGCGCAGGGGAGCTCTTGCAAGCTTCTTGTTTGTAGGTGTTCCAATTTCTTGTCCAACTATTGTTTGGACAATCATATGTTGGAATGAAATGACTGATAAAATAATTTAAAAATAGAAAATGCTTTATGGGATTAAAAGATAGCACTCGTCTTTTAAAAGGACGCAAAAGAAGGAATTTCGTGATATCATTAGTTGGATAACTTATAATAATGATAATCCCCTGTAAGAAACGGGTTTTTGAGATTTAAAGTCTGGTTTTTTACTTCATGCTTTGTCGCAAAATCCGAGATCCGGATATCAAAAACTAAATCCAGATTTCCCAATCAAAAGGACTCCATAGTTTCTTTTCGTTTGTTGTCAGAAATTCATTCGGAAATGTGACTGTATAACATATCGTAGATGAAGTTACCTCATAACGCTCGATGACTTCTTCTCTGCAGGTTCTGCTCTACTGTTTCTGGCACTTTTTTTGACTTTTCAAATTCTACCATCAATGCGTGCATTGCCAATAGATTGCCAAAAGAACACTGCAGTTTGCCTGGAAGAAATAATGAAGGAACTCACCCAAGTTCGATTTGAGGTTAACATTCTCGCAAAGAACAGAACATCGTTGAGATGTAAGTAAGATATCCTTCGTTTACTCGTATTTATCATTCCATCTTCTCTAAATCGTTACTTATATTACGGGAGACTAATTCTGCAGAATGGTGAATCCAATTTATGTTTCAAGGGAGTAACTTTGCAATTCTAAAATATACAGTTTTCTCTTCGTAGTTCTTATCCTTTGCAATACTCTTTTAAAAAGCAATGTAGCTAAACATGGAAAGGAAAAAAAGAAAAGGATAACACTTTGAAATGCTTGCAGTAACTTCCTCAGAAAGAGGCAACAAACGGTCTATTAGAATAAGAAACAGTATATTGTTCGGTTTGGAGCCGATTCGGGGGGGAGGAACCGAGGAATGAAGGTGTTCGTTCCAGAATGTGTACGACAGTATTGCCTCTGTGTGTTTGACAAACGTGAATAATATATAGATATATATATATATATATATATATATATATATTTTTTATTTTTTTTTTTATTTTTTTTTATTTTTTTATGTCCGTTCTATTTTTGTCCTTTATTGTCGTTTTTATCCTCATTAATTTGTTTTATACGTAATCAAAATTAACGAGAGTTGGAGGCTAAAGTTAATAAGTGCGTGTCAACTATTTTACGATCATATTGTAGATGAAAAATCGCCCAATTTTTCTCGTCTTTTGTGTCTGAGATCCATGATTATGACACTATAAGTATATAGTTGCAGCACCCGAACACTTGCACCTTCAGAATAAATATAAGCTAAGGAGATTCCGTGCAACAGTTATCGAATGCTACTATTGAAATGATATTCCTACATCAGTGCGGGAGAAGCCCACTAGAAAACATTTTTTAAAGAGCAGTTTTTATGTATTACTTTTCTTAGTATTTATTAACGTCTTCCTTTCACTATGGACTATTGATATATTTGTTGTTAAAAGTGTGATTCCTATTCCCTCTCATATATCAATCGCTTTTCTTCTATTGTATGAAAAAAAATGTTATTTGGCGTAAAGCTCATCTAATTAGCTTGCTTTATTATGCCTATCTCCAATTTTCTTCTATTTTGTTGTAATTAATCAAAGGTTGTGATTGTTGAAGTGAAGGGAAGAATGATAGAACAAATAATACAGATTATAATGAGTGGATCAAGTAGCACTTCTTTCGCTTATAATCAGTGTTCGTCTACAAAGTACGATAATAAACTTTCATGTTCATACCATTTTATTTTACACGACAAATAAGATAAAAGATTTACGAAAAATGTAGGTTCCGTCTTTTTCTTTCCAAGATATAAATTTTTTATACATTTTTCGTCAGGTGCAAATCTATACCCACCCTCGTTTTAGACATTCTCGCGCCATCGGACACGTTTATTTTATCTTCAATAGCTAAGAACTGCGCTGAGCTGTACAAATCTGGTCAAAGGGTCAGCGGTGTTTACACAATCGACCCGGATGGTTCAGGCGCCTTTAATGTATACTGTGACCAAACTACAACCGGTGGGGGATGGACGGTGATCCAGAAGAGAATGGATGGCTCTGTCGATTTTAACCGCACCTGGGATGACTACAAGCATGGCTTCGGTAACTTGGTCGGTGAATTTTGGCTCGGACTGGACAAAATAAACCGCCTGACACGAAACAAGACAAAGAACAAGCTTCGAGTAGATCTTGGAGTAAAAACTGGCAAGACTGTTTACTCTGAGTATGGCTGGTTTGGGATTGGGACCGAGACAGCTAAGTACTGGCTAGACCTTGGCAAAATTATAGGTAAGTAGACCGTTTTTTTAGCATTCATCGCTCGATCTTTATACGTTACTTCTCTCTCATCAAAATCTCGATCTAAAACTCCACGTAGTCGACTAATGGTATTATTAAGTAGCAGGGTAGCCCTGAGGTAGACTCGCATGTTCTGATTGGTTCTTACTCGGTCGAGAGTTTGGTCCGAGTGCCACATAACAAACTTCTTACTAAACTTATTTTATTTATTTGTTTATTTTTTTATTTATTTTCTTTTTTTTTTTTTTAACGGAAAACAACCACTTTTAAATTGCAAAGACACTATACGAACCCTTGAATTATGCGGATTTCTTTTGTTCTGTTTTGAAACAGATGCGACTGTTTCCAATGATTCACTCGGTCCTCATAAAGGTTTCGTTTTTGGTACCTGGGATAAGGTTCCTGCTGGTTGTGCTCAACAAATAGGAGGAGGCTGGTGGTATGACAGCAGTATTACCCAATGTGCTGTTTCGTCAAATCTTAATGGTATTTATCCACGTTGTGGAAAAGAAACCTTGGCCGCTATCCACTGGGGATACTTAGGGAGAAGTGCCAAGAGAAGCGCTCCAACATCAACTGAAATGAAAATAAAACCAGTGGAATTTATGCGCGTGGCTTGAATTCTACTTAAATGAAATGTGCATCTACTGTTTGCAAAAATCAAGAAGTGTTTTGTGTGACAACAAAACACCGATTACTTTTTTCAATCTCTTTACCTCAAGACTTATAGATTTTTAGAATGCAAATTAGATTAATGACAGCATCATAGACTCGACTACACTTTTGTTGTAAAGAAAATATATCGTAATCAGTTGGTATCAGAAATGTTTTATTATTTGCAGACTTTATGGGATTTGTTTAGAATAATGCGATTAAAATGTCACCAAACATAATTTTGGGAAAAACATATTTTCATAACACCGAAATTAATTCAGAAAAATTCTGTATACTGTGGAACACTATATGCCATAAGATAGAGTTTATATATGTTTTGTTATTAATACAATATTTTTTATATTTTCTAAGGATTCTTCAACTTTGCTATTTCAGTGCTATCAAAGATTATGTCACAAAAGGTACCTTTAAAATGTGACTTTATAATTTGTGAAGAAATAAAGACTGCTTTATAATATTTCTACCTCTACTTAAAACTCTTATTGATTGAGTTGCCATGGGAATCTACATGTCGAAGACTTCCTATGCTCGAGGAATACTGAGCCTACAATGGTTTTCAATTTGATATTTGCAGTGAGGATCTTTCGCTCGATCTGACGAATACGTTGTGGTATCGAAGTCCACTTCCGGGCCTTGTGTAACCGCTTACTTGCGTAAAAGTATTAGTTTAACATGTTTCAAATGTCTATGCAACATACTGAGCGCAATAACTCCTGCTATTTACTTTCGTGTAAATAGAATGACAAAAACAATTATGTTCCAAAGTAGGAAATTTTATCACCAGTCTCATGGAATTCTTCGCGGATATACTTAAAATTTCAAGGGTTGAAAAGTTGAGTAACAGACAAGGGACATACGTTCTCAGTTTAGCCTTAACTATTTGCACATTCTTCAGAAAGCTAATTAATGAAAGTGAAAAATTAAACATCCTTCAATTTATTTCTTAAAGTCACATTGCCGTTTTCCTTCATATCGAAAATTTAATTGGACTTGAGTGATACAGTCCAGTTTCTTTGGATGTCTGTGGTATGCAGAAGCTGGTGGAAAGCACAGTCAGTTTTGTGTTTAGAGACTTTGATGTACCTGCTCTCCAACTTCACGCGTGCATCCATAATTCGATATACGCACGCTGACCAATTCTTTGATGTTTCATAAATAATCTATTACATGATGTTGAATAACCACATTCTCTTTCCACAATGTGGTTGCAGGTTTTCTTTCACATGTCGGTACTAATGCACTTTTTCGCTTAACCCAATTTTGTCAGAAGTCATCCACGGTTTATTGAAATTACTCAGTAATGTGATACCTTCCTTCGGTCAGATTTTGATTGACACCGTTTTCATTCTCTGTGTTTAGCATTTATTTAACTAAAAACACTACACAAAAATTTCCAGAATATTTCAGGTACATCAGTTATCTAATAATTGCGTCATTTGCATTCAAATTTCTCGATGAGATCGGAACCGAATTGAAATTATGTGAATAACATACCTTATATATCTTGGGTCAACGATGAAGTTTCGAAAGCTTATTGATTTGTAAAGAGTAGATTTGTGACGGAGTTCCGCTCTCAAGAGTGCCGTACCTCATAGGTTAGTTTCCTGCATAAATTGCATTTGTATGTAAACTTCTTTGAATGTTTTTGGATAGAGACCGAAACAGTTCGATGACACCTTATATGGCCAATAGTGGATATGTTATCTTCTTCAAATTTGTAGTTTGCCGCAGCATTGTATCAGAGGGAATGCATCAATCAGAAATCCTTATAGTTCATACATTTTGATACTCAGGGAAATCCGGAATGTGCTCCGAGGCAACAAATGTGATATTCAATGACTTTGCTGGGTTTACCAGTTTAACAGACTAGCACCATTTTCCCTTGTTTCATCGTATTCATGACACTCAATCTTAATTTAGCAACTTACTCCCAAACACAAGTGGTTCATATCAGTTTTACGGGTGGAGAGAAAACGGCCAACTCTTCTCGTATTTTACTTTCCCTGCCACAAACATTTATTTCAGGTCCGACAAATAGTAAGATTCTCCTGAAAACTTGAGGATAAATGGTGAAATAGCTTTAATGAAATATCAACACATTTGACCACACACCACAATCTGAAAGAGAAGATCTTTTCAGACACGCTCAAAGTTATTTAGGACACAATGAGCGCTAATAAGACTGGCTGAAAGCCTGACCTTCATTCATGGTGGGCTTAATGAAAATTTATTTCAATAAAAGATAAATTCCGTTGCTGCCTGTAAAAAGTTTGAAGCGCATAAAAAGTTCTTTTACCTGTTTCATTTGTATGTTAATTCGCTTTTTGTTTTGACTTCTTTTTCGTTAAGTTTACTGTCACAGAATATTGTACCTTCTGGAAATACTGTCCTCAAGCATGCAAGAAAATTATGTAAAGCTTTAAATATATATATATATATTATTAAAACAACAAAAGTTTTAACATACACGTTTCAGTAGGCAAACCAAAGCCTCTAAACACAAAACTGACAGTGTTTTCTACCAGCCTCAGCGTACCACATGCATCCAAACAAACTGGACTATATCACTCCAGTCCAAGTAAATTTTCGATGTGAAGGAAAACGGCAATGTGACTTCGAGAAAGAAATTGAATAATCTCTGCGAGGAACGAGGGAAACAGAGGCATCTGTTTCAAAACAGTAAGAAAGAAATCTGCATAATTCTAGGGTCCGTTTAATGTCTTTATAGCTTCAAACTTGTTGTTTTCCGCAAAAAAGAAAAAAAAAATAGATGAATGAATAAATAAATGAAATAAGGCTAGTAAGAAGTAAAAAAATTGTTATGTGGCACTCAGACCAAACTCCCGGCCGAGTAAAAACCAATCAGAACGTGTGGGACTACCCTGCTACTTAATAATACCATTATTCGACCAAGAAGAGGAAAATATCGAGATTTAGGTGAGAGAGAAGCAATGTATAAAAATCGAGCGATGAATGCTAAAAAAACGGTTTACTTACTTATGATAGTGCCAAGGTATAGCCGGTAGTTAGCTGTCTCGGTCCCAGTCCCAAACTAGCCATACTCAAGGTAACAGTTTTGCCAGTTTTTACTCCTAAATCTACTCCCAGTTTTTTTTTTTTTTTTTTTTTTTGTCTTGTTTCGGGTCAGGCGGTTTATCTTGTCCAGTCCGAGCCAAAATTCACCGACCAAGTTACCGAAGCCATGTTTGTAGTCATCCTGAGTGCGGTTAAAATTGACAGAGCCATCCATTTTCTCCTGGATTACTGTCCATCCCCCACCGGCTGTAGTTTGGTCACAATACACATTAAAGGCGCCTAAACCATCTGGGTCGAACGGGTAAACACCGCTGACCCTTCGACCGGATATGTACAGCTCAGCACTGTTGAAGATAAAACAAAGGTGTTCGATGGTGTGGGAATGTCTTGAACGAGGGGTAGGTATGGATTTGCATCTGACGAAGAATGCGTAAAACTTCTATCATGGAAAGAAAAAGACGGAACCTACTTTATTTTAGATCTTTAATCTTATTTATCGTATCAAATTAATTAGTATGAACACGAAAGTTTATTAACGTACTTTGTAACATACATTGATTATTCAGCGAAAGGAGTGCTACTTGATTGACTCGCTATGATCTGTATTATTATAATTTTTTAAATCATTATTTCCTTCATTTCAACAATCACAACCTTTAAATAATTGCAACAAAATAAAATAAAAAAAAGGAGATGGGCATAATAAAGCAAGCTTATTAGATGCCCTTTACGCCAAATAACACTTTTTCATGCAATAAAACAAAAGCAATTTATATCTAAGAGAGGGAATGGGAATTACACTTTTAACAACATACATACTAATATTACATGGTCAAAGGAAGACATTAATAAGTACTGAGAGAAATAATACACAAAAACTACACTTTTAAAAGTTTTCTAGTGGGCTTCTCCCGCATTGACATAGGAATATCATTTCAATAGTAGCATCCTATAACTGTTGGACAGAATCTCCTTACATTTATCCTGATAATAATCATGGATCTGAGACACAAAAGACAGAGTAAAATTTGGCGATTTTTTTATCTAAAATATGATCATAAAATAGTTGACACGTACCTCTTAATTTTAGCCTCCAAGTCTCGTCAATTTTGATTATGTATAAAGCAAAGAAAACGGAAGTAACTGAACGCACACACACAAAAAAATGTTATTCACGTTTGTCAAACACACAGAAACAAAACTGTCGTACACATTCTGGAACGAACTCCTTCATTCCTCAGTTCCTCCCTTTAAAATCGGCTCCTAACCGGAGAAGAAGTCAATGTGTGGTGTGCAGACAAAACAACTACGACATGTTATACTGTCACATTTCAGAGTGAATTTCTGACAACAGACACAAGGAAATTATTGGGTGCTATCGACTGGGAAATCTGGATTTAGCTTTTGATATCCGGATTTAGGATTTTGCGAAAACACATAAAATCAAAAACCAGATTTCCAAGCTCAGAAATCCGTTGTTAAGGTGGATTATTATTATTATTATTATTATTATTATTATTATTATCATTATTACTTATCCAACTTCAGAAATCGTGAATTTCCTTCTTTTGCATTCTTTTAAAAGATGAGTGCCATATTTTAATCCCCTAAAGCATTTTTTATTTCAAATTTACCTATTAGTCATTTCATTCCAATATATAATTTTCCAAACAATAGTCGGACCAGTTATCGAAACACCTACAAACAAGAAGCTTACAAGAGCTTTCCCTATGCTATTTTAATCTCCTCATATTTTATTTCGACTCGTGTAGACCGTTCAACCAAAAGAGGTGTCCATGTGTACGAATAATGAACAAAAAGAGACAGCTGTTCACGACTACAGCTTCGTAAATCCTTTTATTGAAAATTGAAAAAAAAACAAAAACAAAAAGGAAACCCATGAGATCCATTCCATCGAATAAATCGGGTATCAAAGATGATCCATAATTAAACGTAACCACACTGTGTTAATAACAAACGATCAGTTTCTAAAAGGGGCCTAGCATTTTCCAGTATTTCTTATCAATTTTCTTTCACCTATCTATTAAGGTGCAATATTGAAAAAATTAAAAACATTTTCCGTTCTTATGCCGCCTGGAAGAAAGTATTTGTTAAAAACGGCACTAGGACCGAGTGGAGTCCACTTTCGTCCGCAAACATACCAATGATTGACAAAATCGGGCGACCGCGAAGGGAGAGTCCCATTTGTTAATCACGAGTATTATTACAGATAGAATTAGACGACACGAGGTCCTGTTATACCTTTCCAAAAAGAAAAAATAGTTAATTCGGCGAAATACGAGACAACAGCGCGCGCCCATTACGCGTTCTGTCCATATACA